GCCCTGCCAAACTTAGCCTGCCATTATCTGGAGCGGCAGCTGCAGTAACTCCCAGCTCATCAGACGGGGCTTTCAGATGGCTGAGCAGCACTTGAGCACCTTAGACAACTCATCTATCGCTGGTGGTGAATGCATCGCACCTCAGTAACAAACTACAACAGCTGTCAGTAGGCTTGCTGTTTATAGCTGCCATACTGGGCGCCTTCTAAAATCAGAGGTTTCCCTTCCTCCCCAGCAAAGGGCCTAGAAACCGGCAGAAATACACATTAACTAAGACCCCAACCCTCCAGAGGCACTGTACGTTCTTCCCAAGTTAAAAAGAAAGCTTACCACTTTCTTCAAGTTCTATTGGCTCTGCTTCTGAAGCCGTTTCTGCAGTAGAAGCCACCAGCCTGTTTCGTTTGCGAGCTTGCCTAGAATTAACTGCTCCTCCACGGCGCTTCCGTTGAGTCTACGAGAGAGCAAAGCCTTAGCATTTTCTTTAGGAGTAATGTTAACGTGGCCCTCATCTTTGCAGCACCAATGCAAGCACACAAGGAGGCACAAAACACTCCCCTGAAAGGCTGCAACAGGCAAAGAACGGTGGGTGGGTCGTTCCTACCTGAACGCCTCGCATCAAGGAACAGACATCACCCCAGATGTCTTACCAGTTGGGTCACAAAGGAAAAAACATATCGTGATGGTTTGAGAGAAGTGAGAAGACTAGTTCACAGTTATGTCAGATGTTCGCTTCCAGCCAGCCATCGGAATCAGTCTGACCTAAGGTTTTTGCTCGCATTGTAAGCATTTCTGAACTACTGCTAGCACCCAGCGAGAGTAAACATCTGAAGTAGCACAGAACGTGCAGTTACGCGAAGCTTTCATATGCTTGTGTTCCAGTGCATTTACTGCAAACGCTTAAAAACGTTTACAGAGGCACCATCAACAACACGTTTTAAGAATCAGGTTTGCCTTGAGCAGTAAAATACTTACTGCGCTCATGGTGTTTCTTGATCTAAAACCACAGAAAAAAAAGCAAGAGGTACCAACACCAACAAAGTTAATTGCAAGGAAGCTACAATTCCGTCTATTCCTTTAGGTAGTACGCTGTTAAAAAGTCCAGATTTCTCAGTATCTGAGAACGATCTTCTTCCAAACCTGTAAGAAAAGAAGAGAGAAGGTTACCTGTCTGTAACGGTTGCTCTCTTACATCCACCCCCTCTCCAAGAGTCCCATTCCTGAGTCACCAGGTTCTGTCCAAAGCTGGAGGGGAAGTCCCAGAGCTTGGTGTTTGAGCCTCAGACACCTACAGCGGGGCCTGAAGTCTCGGTCATTCTTAGCCTTTTCGTAAGCTAAGCACCAGAACAAGCTAGTTTGTTAGCAAACTAGAAAGATACTAAGGAATCCCAATTAAGTTTAACTGAAAAACAACTGACTGACTCTGGAGGCAATGTTTGTGTGCGGGCAGGAATCAAGAGCATACGAGTGTATAGTAGCCACTCTGTGGTAACTGTAGGTGTGCATGCCCCTACCCACCAGAGAGCGAACTGCTAAGAAGGAAGAGGTGAATAGCAAGCATAAAGGCAGTTATGAGTATCTGACACGGTACTGAAGTTCATATCTTAAAGCTTGGTTATGGTAAAATTATCCTGTGTCCAACACACAATGATGAGCTGGGGGGGCAGACAGTGCTGGGACCAGGAAAAAACAATTATGCTAAACAAGAACTGCAGAAGTGTCTTCCTGATACTGACCTTGATCTACGCTTCAAAGACCAGCACGCACACTATTAACCTATTCTCAGATTAAGAAATACTGAGGCCATGCAGTGGGATGGAATGGCACCGGCAGTCAATGATAACCTTGAGTTAAAGGAAGCCTGACTGATTTTTATCCTCTTAAACTTTCTTTATATTTCTTCAATCACTTGCTTCCTTAAGAAACCCATTAACACTGAATTGTGACATTATTAAAACAAAACAGGCTTGAGAAAAATCCTTACACTAAATCTGCTACTTTTCTAAGCCCAAAAATAGATTTATGCACAGTTTTAAGCAACACATTGTGCCACTCATCAATTTTCTCCCATTTTGTCATTTTAAAACTGGCACTGTATTGCAAAAGCTAAAATGGAAGTCAACATGGCTTTTTTTTTTTTTTTTTAACTTGGACCACTTACTATATGTCAGACTTAACTAGCAGTGAGCCCACAGGCAGATTCTGGTCACAGTAGATGAAATTTTCAGAACTGTTATGCATAACTCCCTCTCCTAATAGGAACCTAATCAGTTTTGACAGTTGTAATATTTTTTTAAGATGTTTTTTAAAAATCTAAACTTATATGTGTAGTTACCCAAAAGTTCTTCTCGCAAATGTGAGCAATAGCCTTATGTTCTCACCTGGGATGTTGACGATTAAGGATCAGAGTTTGCTCCCTATCGGAGAAAGCCAGGAACTGACTTTCAGCCCCCTGCTTCCTCAGTACAGGACTCCCCTACGCAAGCATTTTTATAACAATCTGTGTCCAGGTAATGCGAGTTCTCTTTGCGCACTTCACCCCACTGTTCTTAAGGCCTAGACTTCATTTCATCAGTTAAGGAAGAAAGCTTTTCTGCCAGCCTTACCAGCATTCTTGGGAAGATCCTATTTTTTTCACTTCGCTGAATTTTTGTAATAGGGAAGAACTTTTAAAACAAAACCATGCCTAATTCTGCACTTATACAAAGCAAACCAGACAGACTGTTCTGTGAGCACACCTTCTAGGTGCTATAGGAGTTCCTCTCTCACATGATTATTATTCATAGGTTTGGTTTTGGAGCTTTTTAGAAACAAGGCAAAGCAGTTTCCCACACACAGCAGGAGGATGAACGAGACTGAGCAACACATGAAGTATATCAAGAAGTTACGCCATTAGATTCTTTATAAGTTTATTTCATCAAGAAAGCCAAGAGACATTTTTCCTTGATTCTCCTCAGATATGGAATTGGAAAAAAACACTTGGACAATAAAAAGCTAGGAAATGTTATTTTGTACACGCATCTGAGGATTATAAAGAAATAAACTTTATATACATTTACTTTAAATTACAAGTTGTTAGAATTGTTTTTAAATAGAACCTGGTAGAGCAGTCTGATACACTGACTTATCTGCACTGCTGAAAGACAGCAAAAAACAAGTCTGATGCATTCACTAGACAGCATAGTTTTGTATGTAAAACATCCAGAAGATTTCACAAGACTCAGTGCTTTTCGGATTTAACACTGAATACAACCCAGTGCAATGGTATGTTGACAAAGTATCTTTAGACAGCATTAAAAATACAGGGGGGAGCAAGCACCTGGGATGACTCCAAACATAAACAGTTGCACAGATTCTCTTTGACCACAAGTGGCTTGAGTGCCAAAGAGCAGCCATGGCAGAAGGAGGTCAACAAAAACCCCCAAACAAACAAACAAAACCCAAAAAAACTTAAATTTGAAAACTATGGTGAAAAGAAAACCAAAGTAATACACAATAGAAGACCTGTCATGCGAAGACCACCTTACCTACGTTAAATATTCACATACTTCTTTACCAAGATACCAAGGAACAGATTATTTACAGGATTACTATGATGGCTGTATTTTCAGAATCTTACAACATCAGCAGCAGGCTTTTTTTATACTTAATACAGGGAGTATACATAAGGTACAAGTGTCCTAGCTGCTAATGGCTCAAATCCTAACCTCTTCAGAAGCTTCTTCTGAAGAAGTAAGTTGAGAATCGATACCCATAAGGAAGCTCAACACTGTAAAACCACCTTAAAATAAATCATCGTAGGCAGGTTCATCAGTACCAACATGACTCAACTCCGGAGAGTCATGTTTATAAAGAAAATCAGACTGCTGGAATTTATTATGACTATGGAAGGAGTCTCATGATCCAGCAACATTTTTGTCTTGTAAGAGCAAACCTCTTCTGTGGGGCTATAGATTTCCATGTTATTGGCTTACTCAGGAAACTTCATTGAAAGTTAATTACCTGAACTGTAAGAATGGGTAGCAACAATAAAGCAAAGCTTACTTTCTTCAATACACCACAGATCAAGCTAGTAGCACACAGGAACAGAAGTAAACACAACAGTTCCGAGTTTTGCCCATTTAGAGACACACTCATCAATAAGAATTCCTTAAAGATTTTCAAAACCTCAGGACCACTCAATTTAATAATATGATTTGTTATACAGGATGGGATAGCCCAAATTAAATGATAAGGTTTACATGCTCCTGCCCCAGCAGTCACTGTGAAACCCAGCACCAAGACCTCCAAGACTGGATAATACAAGTAGAGTTACTGCATCAACCTCCCCCCTAACCCATAAGCATCAAGTAACTCCAGCTGAAGCCATTAGCGAGCTCATCTATTACACCTGTAACAAGATGCATCCAGACATCAAAATTCTAGAATTCAGATTTTAAAAAAAAAGTAGAAAAGGACTTTTTTAAAATGTGAAAACTTAGCAGATCAACTTCATAAGCCAATAAATGCTTTTAACTTTTACAGACTTTTTATTGCACCACTGCAGGATAATACCATACCAGAAAAAGCCACTCCCCTTCCTCTCATACACAGAGCTCTGCCCATGCAGTTATTGTTCCTGTCATTTAGCTCTCCCAAGGGTGTAAGTAGTGCTGTCCTGAAAACAACAAAGTTCAAGGTTTATTCTAGCTAACTCGCTAGCGTTTTAAGGACTATATCTACCAACCTTTCTCTGTACAGGTAGATACTTGAGAAAAATAAAGGTAAAGTCATCTAAATTAAGAATGTTTACACTAGGAGTAAAAGAATATTGATTCCCATATTCATCATATAAGTCTCCTGTTAAATTTCTTCCTCTATAAAAAAGTTAACATTTTCACTGAGTTCAAGTTAACCTAATTTAACACATTTGAATTACAATTCCAAAAAAATGGATTCTCTAAACAACATAAACTGAAAACTTTTCTTACACCACTCTGAAAACAAAGTCTTGGTCTCCCACATGCTTAGCATGAACTGAGGCAAATCAGCTTAAGCAAGAGGTAGACATTTTTACCATGTCTGACTAACATAAACAAGACTTTACTTTACAATTATCCTAACCACTACAAATACACTAAAGTAACTACTTGAAGAAAGCAATAATGTCAGTCTAAATATTTGGTGTGTGCAAGGCACAGGTGACAAAAACAGCTGTATTTCTCAAAAGATGATATGCTCTGCCTTTAAGACTTTGCTTCTCATTTCCACTCTGAAGGCCTCTCTTTGCGCTCCTAACAACAGGAAACACGGTATCAAAGATGCAGCACATACTAAAAAAATTTCTGTGGTCAGAAGATACAGGTACCAATCACAAAGTGCTAGTCTTCAGATATTTTTATCACAGGGAACAGTAATCTGACATTTTACTTTTTCAAAACTTGCCTATCATGTATTTCCAGTACCTTTAAAGACGTTCTCATTTTTTCAGATGCACTACACCAACTTCAATGAAAACAGAAGCTGAGTCTATTATGTTTTATCCAAAATAAGCAGTCCCATACTACAAAAGCTGGGCGAGAGGCACTACAAAAAGAAAAAAGATGAGAGAGAAAAAGCCTACCATCCTACTGCTCTAAGCAGTCAGCTACATCTACAGACAAATAAGACATATGTTTATGAGCAGCCTAACGAAAAAAACCCAAACAACAACAAACCCCAAATCCAAAACGAAACAAAGAAGCTAAGAAAACACCCAGAGAACAAAACACACCCAAAACTTTCAGCTGGCCAAATATCCTATTTCAGAAACAACAAAGAAAGACAGACTGGCCACAAGAAAAGCTCCTCGTTGCTCTTATGTGCATAAGTTCCTCTGAAAGAGGCTACAGCTTATTTTCAGTAGTCCCAAAATCCGATACAGAAGAAAAGAAAGAAGTTGCCTCTTTTCTCATCCTGTAACGGAGGTGTAGGGGACGCTGAGGTGGAAGGGAAGCCTTCCCTCCGCTCCTGCTGTCACACAAAATGGGAGGACAGGCCAACGACTTCGCGCAGCTACATCTCCTGCCCGTGCTGGGCCGCCCCTCTTCCTGCCGCCGAGAGGGGAACGCCGCGGCCTCCTCCCCAGCTCTCAGGACACCCTCGGAGCGGCCCTGGCCGCAGACGCAGTTTACGCCCCGGCCAGCACAGGGAGAGGCCGAGCAGCCCGCCCGCAAGGCCCGGCTGCTCTCGCTTTCCAGGGAGGACGAGGCCCAGCCGCCCCCGGACCCCAGCGCTGCCGGCCGCCCGGCGAT